GAATTGGGTAGCTCTATTTAACAAGGACACCGCCTCGTGGTTCTTATTATTTGAAAAAATAAGGCGTCCCCACCCTGTTTGGGAACCTTAGCAATCGGTTGCACACCCCCCGCTCCGGTCTCAAGACCTCACTGGCCACCCCCGCGTCGCACACGCCCCCCTCCCCCCCCCATACCTTTTGACCAGTCCCTAAACATTTTCCTTAAATTCAGCAAACTCAGCCGCAGTTTTCTCATATTTCTTTGTCCTTTTGGCAGGAAGTTTTCCTCATTAGCCTCGAATTCATACTCAAGGCCTACTCGACCCAGGACCTTCGGGGAATACGAATATTGTCTATTGACGTTATTGGATTAGTTAAGGAAATTGGTGCATGGGCTGAATACAAAAACACCGGCCCTAATATAGCAGGCGCTCCCTTCCCTTTTTCCGCTTTTCTTCCTCTCCCCCTCCCCCTCCCCCTCCCCCTCCCCTCTTTGTACCTGCCACGCAGGCTAGTACTAGTTTAGTTTAGTGGTTTAGTTTGCGACTCAGCCAGATGGACTGAGTATAACCTTTGAAAGGTCATCTGTTTCTATTAGGTTTTCACGGGTAGAATATTCAGTCATAGACAGGCATCAGATAAACAGTCAGTCCATACAGCAGGGTTGACGATACGTTGAAGTTTGAAACTCGGTACAAAGGAAAAAGTCTGTTGTCCCTATTAAGCGGGTTAATTTTCAAGAAAATATATGAGCTTTCGGTCGGGACAAACGAAACTGTCCGTTAAATGCGGGTGTCCATAGAGTGGGGTTTTACTGTACCTAGGTCTTTGCTGCTCACCAAATTCCCTAAATCTAGGAAGTGGCCGCAGATTGCCATATTTTCCGGCGAGAATGTCGCACTACTAGTTTCGATGTGTTCTCTCAGTACGGCTTTGCCCTAGATTTATTTGGGCGTTTTATTATGCATCTGAGAATCACCTATTCTCCTTAAGTCTCTAGTCGGTTTAGCGAAAATTAAATTAAATTAATTCTTTACTCACTAAGTAGTATTTCAGCGATGTTGTCTCCTCCCACTTTCTCCATAACATCTGCCAGTCTGCCAACAGTAGCATTATGCCCCTCCCAATGTTTCCAAAACATCAAAACGGCCATTGCTTTATCTCGATTACTTCTGTACTCCTCATCAATAAGAGACATTCTTGATGCAGTAATACGTAGCAATGGTCCCAATTTCTTCCAGAAATTGCCTACATAATCACTGATTTCCCAAAGCTGCATTTCTGTGACTACTGTATTTCTTCGATCAGATGTCACTGAATAAAAAAAAGAGTTATCGTCATGAGTTGTTAACATCCCTTTCAAAAGCATCTACATGTGGGAAACCCTGGTTGTTTACTTACATGGGCAAACTGGTTGGTTCACGGTTTGCGCAAATGTTACGCAAAATTCAGGACTAGTAAATTTCGTCCCGGAATCGCGGTTAACATTTGTACAAATCAATTCCATTCACCGGAAAAAGGGCCCGCAAATTTGAAAAGTACTGGTACCAAAGATGGCTTTGAAGCAATATGGAACATGAATTTCTGTTTGGAACATTCCATCAGGAAAAACAGGACTGCCTTTTCAGACGTTTCCTTACTCCTAGAAATTTTCAACTAAAACGACCCAAAAAGTCGTGTTCCAATTACTTTTAAACGGAATTTTTCAAAAACTTTTTGTAAATGGTTAACAACCCATGGGCATCAATCAACAAGCTGTAACCCATATTTCCTGCAATTTTGATCAGAAATCAAATGGAACGGATCATTTCAGTTTTGACCTTTGGACTGATATGTTGTCGAAATTGTTGTTCACTATAGTGGACATTGGTGAAGATCTGTACGAATCGGGCCTCCATTTGTGAGTATAAAATAGCCCACTTATCTTTTTTATGCATCCACGCTGAACAATCGAGGTCGATGAGTTTAGAATGATTGAATGAATGAGTTTGCCATTTCTATGACGATTTCTGTTTTATTTTAGCTTTTGTTGTGTTTGTATTTGCATGATCCAATGCGCGGAACGCACGGTGGCCTGGATCAGGTCTGTGTAACAGGAATGTATCGTTCCCTCCACTGGACACGCAGAATGTCCGAAATTTCAAACCGGAATTTTTGTCGAACAGAAAGCGCCAGGAAACTTTTGTGGCCTTTTCTCCCCAATCAGCAATCCAGAAAAAATTGACTGCGTACAAAAGTCTCATATTTTTCCCCTCACCTCTTCAAATTATTCTATCCTCAGTAATAAGCAATTAGGAAAATAAGAGTGGCTTTGCAGCTGGGCTGTTGTGGTTAGTGCACGAATTCTTGCTAATAGGGGAACTGACTCCTTCTCTTAATGGACAATCCAACACTATTCGATAGAGCAAAACGATTTGTGTGACTTTGCATGTTTCATTATTTATTTGACAGTTGATCTACCAAACACTTTTGAATTTGAAATGACGTCACCATTACACCGAAAATCATTCGATTTTCTCTGCATTTTTTTAAAACTCTTTTATGTACAAAATTACTTCTTTAAAAAATTCTTTTTTAAAAGAAACATTAAGAATACCTGGAGATGACTTAATTATTTTATATTTACAATTTTATAATTATTATTAACGGAAATGAATCTACATCCATAAATGTAGTCTACAGTTTACTCTTTCAGAAAGGTTGCAATCATTAAGTGAATTAAATATAACAACAAAATATAGTCAAATTGCATTCAGTCCCAACTCGGCAAAAGTTGGAAAAAGGGAGGGAGATGCGATCACCCTGTAAATAGCGCTTTGCAGCAAAGAACGTCACAAATTTCTGGTTCTTTCCGTGACTCAGACATTGAACAGGATCTGTATAGGAATTTCGTATGGGAAAGTCACGTTTGCCAGAAATTTAGGCCGTCCTTGAAGACTATTATCATCAAAAGAAATAAAATCCAGCTTGGTTTTGTTAACATATATCCAGAAAATAATTGATGTGTGCCAAGACAATGTCAAACATGGAAAAAACTCAAGTACAGATGAGTGATTTTATTCCTAATGCGGTGTCAATACTGTGGTTAAAATTATGCCGTTAAAGCATTTCACTAAGAAATGCAAGGAGAGCAGCGTGTCAAAGCTGTTCGTAAAAAGGTGCAATTGGTTAAAATTAGACACAAAGGATGCTCAGTTTTTTTTCAAAAGCAAAGGTAGCCTGCAAGCAGGCTCACTTGTGTGATGATATATAAATAATAATAATAATAATAATAATAATAATTGTTATTATTAACAAGTGATACCAGTAAAAGTAAATTATAACTATGTTACACTATATAAATCTTCGAAAATTGATTACTTTTTCTGATATGCAAATCATGTCCAGTGACATAAAAATCGTGTCAAAGACAAAACAAAATCAACTATAACAGCTGATTCTTAAGTCTCGGCACAAGCCAATTAATAACATAGGCACGTTTAACGTGCATGAGCTAATCTGAATGCTTCAGTGTAACCGTATCAACAACCTACTGTTTTGATCCTAAATTAAGACTATGTTGGTACGAAATTCGGTATTGCTGCACATTAAAGTGCAACTAACCCCCAATTTTTTTTTTGCTGAACAAAATTTTCTAATCATCCTGCTTACTTGTATGAAAAAATTTTTGTCATAGCGTTTTTCCTTATTTTTTTATAATTTTTCAGAGTTTCAAATTTTGGCGGTTCTTGCAGCCACTACCGAGCTCTGTAGAGAATGGGTCCAAGTGTTATTGTGACGTCATCGAAGGAGCTCGACTTTCGTGAGAAACGCGGACTTCTCTTGAAATCTTCTTCTGGAATCATGCCTGACGCCTGTGTTGTTTTCGGTTGTAGCAGAACAGCCGATCCCCAAAGAGGTATCAGGCGTCATGTAATTCCTTTCTTTGATGATCCACACCAGGAAAGCATTAAAAGACGACGGAAATGGGTGAACTTTGTCCAGCAGAGGAGAGCTAAATGGGAGCCAACCAAGCATTCAAAGATCTGCTCCTTACATTTCAAAAGGGAAGATTTCATCTCGTCCTCGCCTGAAGGAAGACGATCCAGGGCCTTGCGTCTTTCCCAGTACACAAGCAAACAGCCCTGAATTCGAAGGCTCTGCTAGTACCAAACCTCAGTCGGCTCGAGCTAAAAGGTCAATCGCTGTAAAGGTGAGAAATTAATGTAGTACACTACTTATGGAAATACTTAAGCTTTATACATATAATCTCAACCTTTTGCAAAATCGTTGAAGTTTGGCAGTTTGTTTATAAGCTTTCTTTTTTTTCCTTTCAAGAGATACAGGCGTCAAGAAGCACGAAAACATCTTCTGCTGGCGAGGAAAATTCCGCGAAAGGTGACGAGAATTCCGTGGAAGAGCAGCATGTGCCAGTCGAAAATCAAAGCCCCTCTGAATGTGTTGCTGTTGCTGCTGCTGCTGAAGAGGTCTCTGAGGTCAGGCAGGTAAAAACTGTCGAACTGCCCGAAGAAGAAGCATCGACCGTGGAAGTTGAGCGCGAGATCGAGGGTTCTAGCAATTGTGGTGAACTACAAAATGAGATACGGATATTACGAAATCAAGTGAAGTCGCTTCAGGGTAAATTGAGCGAGCATCGAAAAGAGAAGAAGAAAATTAAGCGGAAGGCTAAGTGAGTACTTTATTTATCACCACTTCACTGGTTTACTTGTAATGAATGGAAGAAATGAATTTTAGATTTTTTCCGAGTACATCTACCCTCAACTATCTGAGAATTTTTCCAAATCTATATATTTTTATAGTTTCAACCTATCACAAGCATCTGTTAGAAGACATTCCCTTCACAACTCAATAAATACAGTACCACAAGTGAAGAGTAAAACAATATGTTTTTCGTCTCTCACCTATATTTCGACCGTGTAAAACGGCCTTCACCAGGGTCTTCATCAGGTTATCGTTTCATGTGTAGATGTATAAGAATGAGGAAAAGCTTAACTACCAGCTTTCTATCATAAAAAAATCGTTGATAGTTGATTAAGTGTACTTATATTTTTCTCTAGCAAGCAGTTTTGGACATATCGCCAAAGAAAATGAATCAACCTTACGTGTAGATGCCGAAGGTGGGGATGCAAATAGGGATGGTGATGATGATGATGATGATGATGATGATGATGATGATGATGTATATAACTATAATGTGCATGAGGAGTCTGATGAAGAAGGAGGTGGCACAGGTAACACCGAGACAGAAACGGATGAGACTATCGAGACTGATGAGACAGAAACAGAGACAGAAACAGAGACGGAGGAAGACAACTGTGATGACAAAGCTGATCTGGAAGTTGATAAAAAATTGACTATTTACTATTTTTAGCATTCACATTTGCAGGCAGTTTTGTGTCAGCTAATAGTAAACTATTAGCATGATGATAATTTTGTTTGAGAAAACTTTCATAAACGTTCGCAAAACTTCACCTTCCTTTAAACAGATATTGTCGTAAAAGGCCAGAAAAGATTAATGTTAGTGAAGATCATGCAAAACCCTGTCAAGTGTTTTCACACACTAACATTGCACTGTCCTGTTCTTCTGGGCCATCCTGTTGTGTAAACTCACGCGTGGGTTATTACATCCGTACCCTGCTCACTAAGACATTTCCCCTTAAACATCAAGTTGACTTAGCAGGTATAGTAGTCATCATTACCTGTCAATCAACAAGTCTTGTCGGTTACATCTACTTAAAATGGGAACATTAAAGTTTGAAAATGGTTATTTTGTTAATGGCTACCTTTCTTTCTGGGTGGCTCCTGCAAATAGGGCTCAAAGCTAGTGTTTTTGCCATCTTCTTAAACTTACAAACAAAGAATATTATTTCATGATTTTTTTTACAAACACCGATTGACAACTGCTGGAACAAGCCTGAGGTCACAGCCGAAGCACATTGTGTTTTTATCACAGCTGCTTCTCCTTTTTCAACTTTCGCCATGTTTGTAAGACAAACAACCCTTCAATAGAAGCCAGGCAAATTGAAACCAAAGCAGTGGTGACAAGTACATGCCATAACCCAAACTGCCCAAAGCAAGTGGACACTTGGCATAGTCAGCCAAACATGCCAAACTCAGGAATAGCAGCTGGCAATTTCCTGCTATGCATGGCTGTACTGCTGGCTGGAGGCTCTGCTACGAAAGTATTCCGAATTTTCTCACATATGGGCCTTGGCTATGTGTCCCTCAACACCTTCTTTAAATTCCAAAGGGTAAGCCTATTTCAGTGCTGGTCACGAGTTCCAGTTAATTGCAGGCAATGATATAAATGAATATTGTGGTACAGCTTAACTAAAGTACAAATTAGTTCCACACTACAGATTTAAATAATGTTATTAAAGTGATTAATTCAAATTGAAAAAAAGTTACAATACCATGCAGTAGGTAAATGATAACGTAATGTATTGTTATTGTTCTATTTGAAAACATATTGAGCAAAAAGCTGCTGCATGCTTTACAAACCTGGATGTACATAAACTAATCTTATTATTATTATTATTTATTAATATTATTTTTCTCATTTGCAATCTTTTTTTCATAGCAAGCTCTTTCCAACAATTTCACTTTATTGGGTAAAATATCAAGCGAAATTGTTGGAAAAGGTGAAAGCTATCCAAGGGGGCATTGTGTTAGCAGGAGATGGAAGACACGACAGCATGGGACATAGCGCCAAGTTTGGAGCTTACACTATGTTTTGTTGTACTCTGCCAATGATAATCCACTTTGCCCTTATTCAGGTAAGAGTGAAAACTCATGGTTTATTCTTCAAATGTTTGTGAATTTTACAGCCAGTGTTAGCTTTATTTCACGTCACCACCGCTGATGGGACATACAGTTAAGAATGCTAATTTTAGTTCACTCCAGTGATACAAGCTTGTGGGATTGACGTTGACCAGCTTTTTTTCTTATTATTATTCGCAGAGAAACCAGCCAGGAAGCAGTCCTGCCATGGAATTCATGGGCTTCAAGCAATGCATGGAATTTCTGTTGGGCTGTGGGGTTTTGATAACCACATTCATGTCTGTTCGCCACACCACCATTGCAAGCCACATGAAGCAGGTGCTGAGCAACATTGCCCATTACTTTGACATATGGCATTTGAAGAAGAGTAAGTATCCTCTAATAAAGTAAATGTGTAAACCTGTAATTTTTCACAGTTTAGTGATTTCCTTGCAGATTTACATTCTCCAACAAAACTGGCAGGCCTTACTGAAACTACAAACTTGTATGTTTATTCAAGTGAATTATTTTAGAAAACATGTAATAAAAAAAATTGATATTATTGATGAAAGCATTAAACCATTCAATGTCCTTAATCAACACCAATCTTTGAAAAACCACCCGGCTGACTGAAATGTTAACTATGTATGGTCCATGACATTTATATTAACCTGTGTGCTAGATCAAATCTTTACATGCTGTAATGAATATAAACTACCAGTAAATGTACAATTTAAACTTATTGGTTGTAATGTTTGCTTCCCTAATTTTTTTGTGTACATGTAGAAATAAGAAAGGTCCTTAGCAATCTGTCTAAAGAGAAAGGTTGTGAGATTTTGGCTGAATGGATAAAGTCGTGTGGGAACCATTTGTATTGGAGTACGACCACTACCTTAAGCGGCAATGAGAAAGTGATTTGGGCAAAGTTTAAGACTTTCTTAAGTCACATTATTAACAAGCACTCTTCCCTTGACGATCCCCTTTTCAACAAGTGTGGACATGGACAAATACACCCAAGAAAATGGCTTCCTGCTGGTATATTTCATATCAGAAATATTAGCCTTATTAAAAGGGAAATACTTTCTCCATTTGTCTTAGATTATGCTTGCTTATGCAGTAGTTTTATCTAACACAGCATAGCAGGTATCCTGGCCTGGTAGCCTTTGTCATCTGGGCCAGGTTGTTCAAAGCAGGGTTATGATAACCCAGGGTTAATGTGAAATTTGAATTGAGATATGAAAGCGTAAAAAGAAAAGTAAGTTTATTTCTTTCTACAAATTGATGATTGGATGCAGAAAGAAACCCTGATTAATAAATAACTCTGCCCTGCCCCACCTTCAAACAATTGGACCCTGTAGAATGAAATGTTGTGTTTGTCTTTCTTGTTTCCTGCTTTTAGGTTCTGTTGCCTATGAAAAGCTTTACGCTGCCTTGACAAAAAATAGCCTTGTGAAGGGAATAAAACAGGCATCACCTTTTGCCCAAACTAGGTGCCTGAGAGTACTCCATTCACTACTACAGTCGACTCTCTCTTAACGGACACCTCTATAAGATGGACACCTCTGTAAAATGGACACCTAGAGTTGGTCCCTGCCTTTCTTTCCTACCTCTATTTGACTCTCTGTAAGACGGACATCTCTCTAAGACGGACAGCTAGTGCTGGTCCCAAAGGTTTCCGTCTTAGAGAGAGTTGACTGTAAACCAATTTGCTCCAAAGATGATAGCATATTCTTATGTTGGGGTGTATTGCGGTAAGAATAATCTCTCGCTCCACTGATTTTGCTGAACAAAGAACTTAATAGGTTTTTTTTGTTTCCTGTTTTTACAAAAAAAGGCCAAAGCATTTTTGGCATACATTTTTTCTTGCAATTAAAATAAGCTAAAACTGGCAAAAAAAATGCAGGGCAATGTTTTTCTGTTGAATCAGAGGCCACATGGAAAAATTTTAGCTGATTTGGAAGAAAAAAACATCCAAAACGTTTGTTCACAAAGTGTTATTCCAAGCCCTTCATTATTGAATGATATTACATTTTTGTAGTTTAGTCTGTATAACCTCTTTATTGAAAATATTGCCTGTTTTTATTACTGGGCTGCCTGTGCAGCCCAGTTATAAATTCGGTTTTCGGTCATCGGTGCAGAAAAACGGCCTCCGAGTGGAGGGAAGACACGAGGGTCTGGTACCGAGAAACGATGTTCTCACAAATGGTTTCATAGGATTTTCCTTTGCACGGACCCTTGTACGAATACTTTTTTGTTCCTCGTCTCCACCCCACCAGAAACCCAGAAGGCGTTCCGAACCTGAGGAAGGCTATTTGGGTTGTTCGAAGCGATTCGATCATAGGAGTCACTCTATAATTTTTTTATTGTCCGAGTTTAAGTCAGTTGATGATGTTGGCGCTGGGAAACTCAGAGAAATGCTCACGTTGCATACAAACCCACACGCCGTTCACGGTAGGTTCACACTAAAAGATGACTGTGAGCGTCAGGTTTGGAACACCGGGGCTGCTTCGTGAACTCAAAGAGAGAATTGTCGATCGATGTAGTACATGAGCAATTAATAAGCACAATTTATGAGCAAAGTATTTTACCAGTTGACGACACTATGGCTGAAGACTTGATCGTAAGCTGTCGTAGTCAGTGAAGCGAACAACTTAGTTGCCGATGAATGTCAGATGAATCCTGACGTTACGCACGCCCATGAGCGAGGGACGTGACAACTTTGCCATGTTAGAAGACCGGCTTTTCCTTTAAATATTTCGTTCTATTTAATGCAACACACGTCACTTTGGAGGTCTAAATTTCGGATACTGAGGATAAAGAAGACACGGACAAAAATAGGAACTCTGAGAATTTCGCACACAAGTTCAAAGCTTCACTGGAACATACCATCCGCGAGCTTCACAAAGAGCGACTTGAGGAAAATAGGAGCTATTACTGACAAGGTTTGGTGACTGAGTAGAGCATACAAGTGTAGCCCACGGCGAGGTTTCAGGGGGTTTGCTTTTGTTTGTATCTGTATCTTGCTAAGCTTTTATGGGGTGCATCAGTTGAGACGACTTATGCGGTTCTAAATCTCAAAGGAAGGCGTCACATTGGGATGCAGGACTAGTACAGCATCACAGTAGTTTTTTGGCACGAGAGATTTCATAATACCATGTGTCTAGTACCTAGCATATAGTAGTTTTACGGTAGACAGGAATACCACGACTGTAATATGGGTTACAGACGGATACAATTCTAGTTTAGTCACATTCTCACTTGGCATCGTAGTAGCAACATTCACTTTTATTGCACTAGCAATCATTTTACCAAAGTCAATTTATTTTTGTCAACTATGAGTATAAACGAGCTTTTATCAATTGTCAAACCTGGCGAAGAGGAAACGGAGCCTTTAACAGACGATAAACACACCCTAAAGCGACCGCGAAAATGTCCAGGGTGTAAATTGCTCCATGCAGACCACACTTTTGGCGATCACGGTCCTTATTGCACTGGCCCTGACGATACACATCTTTCAGATGATGGAAACCATCCGACAGACGAGGAAAATGATCTCCTTGAGCAAGTAAAGCAACTAAAGCTTAAGGAAGAAGCCTTGGCGAAGAAATCTCGCATTGAAAAATTCAAACTCGAGGTAGCCGAGAGACAGCGCCGCATCGAACAGTTAACTAAATTGCAGGGTCCGTCTGCTGGAGATTTCTCCCTGTCAGCAGAGCATCTAAAGGCCAAAATGCCCGCTGCAGTGGTCGATTCTCCCTCAACTTCTACGGAACACACAGGGCCAACCAGCTCCAAAGACCATGGCGCTTCTCCTAGTCCACATGGACATGACGAGAAAACCCCCTCAGTAACAACACCGCTGGACTTTCTGCTCGCGGGCTATGCGGGAAATCGGTCGTCGGATCAGCAATCACAACAAATTCCTGCTCAGCAAATGCACCTGACTGATGTCCTAAATCCTGATGGCCCACTTTCCGGACCTTTAGCAACCCAGGAGTCCTCCTTTTATCATTAAATTTGTACATGATCTTGTGATCACAATTCTGTGTTTTCGTCCATTCCGCAAGCACGCTATATTGATGTCAGCATTAGCGAGTTTCAGAAACATGCCTTTGAAAATTTTCAGCTCTCGTGATGTTTCTTGATATTTCTTCTACCATTTTATGGAGATGTAAACTGAAGTCACCGCAAAATGGAAACTTAAAAAAGCACATAATCCATTTATCTCGAAACATAATACACATGACTTATACGACCTTTATTTTCCTAAAGGTGTTTTGAATACGAACACGGTCAATGTGAGGGGCAAAAACAGCATTAATATGAATGAACATAGGGTTTTAACTAATACTAGTATACCTAAAGGGTAGAAATGCTGCCGTAGGCAAGGAATAGTGAAGAAATGGAAAATTAAGTGTAAAGTTTTTAGTAGAAGGTGATGGAGGCTAAGAGGGCTTAATCCAAAATCTTTGTCAGTGATGACCTAAATTTAGAAATTATCTTCCTTTTGAGTATCGCGTTAAAGGTGAATAACTTAATTATAAGCCAGTTTTAGTATTTTTCTAACGTACTCGCGTCGCGTCAGAGGTGGCCAGATAATTCTCGATTTTGATATGTATATCAACCATTCTCGCTTGCAACCGTGACTGAATGACTGAAACTTATTTTGAAGCTTTGATTTGGCGATACGAGCAAATTTTCTAACTATGGTATTCAGTCTTTCTGTTCGCACAAAAATCGAGCGTTTTCCACGAAACTTAAAATTCTTGAGTTTAAGACTGTTTATTTCATCTGCCAAGTTTAAAAAAATTTGTTCAACTGTGATCTGCGCTACAAGATAGGTTTGAGAAACGACCATGAAAACACATTAACTTGGCCAACCATATCACGAATCAAACACCAATTTAAACAATTTTGGAGGGCAGTTATGTTCAATTTTTGATAAGTACATGACACATAAATTTCGGGCTCGTAGCTCTAACGCTGCTTGTGTGATTCCCTCTTAGGACAGAAGAAAAATTTGCTTGAAAAATAGTAAAGGCTGCGGCTATATGGCCGGTTACCGGTCAAAACACTAAATGACCGGCAGTCCGATATTTTTTTCAATAATTTTTTTCAAATCGAAGAATCCCAGCCAGACCAAACTATCATACGTCGATTAAGAATAGACTGTGACAGACTTAATTTATGTTCGACAAATGTTGTCACAGTGTAAGTCTGTTCAATTTCAAAGGTAAAAAATATTCACTCGAATATGAGCGGATTCGATCCCGGAGCAAAGGGTCTGCATACCACTACTCTAACCACTAGACCACCGTGGTTTCTCTGCAAGATGGCGATTTTATTCAAATATTATAGCGTAAACCCCAACCCAAAATAAAAGCCAACTGCTAACCCTTATCACCATTCTCAGGGATTAACCCTAATCAGTTTGGTTAGTGCTTCAGTTAGTATTTTCGGTGCTTAACCCTAATCACTATAGTCAAAATATCGGACTTATAAAATATTGCATTTTGTGAAAATATCCTTGAAAGATATTAAACGGCTGCTTGCTCCATGCAGTGATGCTATTTCTTTGTCCATATGCTACGCTATTTTGCTGGTCTTAGCGTGTTCTGTTTTCCGAAAACCAACCTAAATATATAGAGGTTTTGTACTTTTCTTTCATTCTGCCTTGGCATCGACTAGGATAAATTTATCATCAATGCTTTCGATTCTCGGGCGACAAGTGTCGGCCAACTGCAAAAGTATGCAGCACGTGCAAAGATTTTTTTTTTTTTTTATTAGACCTGTTGTTTCTTTACTTTAACGAGATTGCAAATTATTCAAATTGCAGTTGAAAATCAGTGTAAGAAGAAAGCACGTGGTAATCCACTGCGCATTCTAAATCTCCCATTCGAGCATAGCCACAATTCCTTGCGAGTCTACTGCGCATCCCAAATCTTCCATTTGCACTTAACCAAAATTCCTTGCGAGTCCATTGCGCATCCTAAATGTTTCATTCGCGCATAACCAAAATTCCTTGCCAGTCCATTGCGCATCCTAAATGTTTCATTCGCACATAACCACAATTCCTTGCGTTTGGCAAGAAAACGTGATTCAATGCCCCTATAATGTGATTTTTTGCCAATTAGAGAGCTGCCTCGTTCGCTCGCTTCAGGCTCGCTCACTGCGGCAGCAGTAAGGGTCAATTATTGTGCATTGAGATGAATCGCTTGAAAAGAGAGACTTCGCTTGAAGATGTGATCAGATTAAATTATTCAAACTAGTCACGTTATACTGTCACGCTATATTTTGGGGCACAGAGGGATTGGGAGAGGGGTGCGTGAAAATAATGCAGATCGTTTCCTGCTAGAATTAATGGCTAACTTGTTTATTTTTATTCATAATGGTAAAATTTAAAAGTTATTATACAGCCCCCACTTAAAAATGGTACTCTTTTTTTTTGGTTACGAAAGTCTTTCAAAAGGGTACAATGTTCTGAATGAGTTTATGTTTCAGTCTCACATGAGATTCTGTCGCATGCAAAGGTCGGCGACAAGGTTTTATAGTAGCCTGAGTGTGTATAGCCGCCCCCTCCCCTCAGAAAAAATAGCCCCTTGCAGCCCAGTTAAAAATCGCCTTTCGGCAATTCTTGTTTTCAGGCATATTCTTGCAGCAGTTCATTTCAATTTCAACCTGCACAGGGAAGTTAAATGCAGAGAAAGTGATGGAACTGAACGGTGGAGAGTGTCATACCCCACGTTCAAAAACAGGAAAGCAACAGTGCGCAATGTTAAAATTACTCCAAACTCTGGTAAGTGTCAGCGAGAGACTGAAATTTATAACCTTGAGTAACATTTCATGTTTTAATTTTGCTTATGACTTTATGATATTTCAAAGTATAAATAACAAAGTTAATGAGGTGGAGCACAGTACATGTAAATTCAGTATTTTGGCATTAGTTGTCTTTGACAAACTAATGTGAGGTGTAAAACAAATATTGTTTGCAATTTGCTGTATAAAAATCAACTGGTATCGTCAGTTCTACCTATTACTCAACACCCTTAAAAGGTAAGGCAAGTAAAACTATTTACATTTGACTTCTCTTAAAGAATATGTGGAGGAAATGCTTCAGACATACTTAGCTTCAAGCAAAGATGAATTGCAGCAGGCGCCTAGGAAGCTTAGAAACATGACCCCAGCACCAATTGACACAATGTTGCAGAAGCAACCAAGAGAAGAAGCTATTGCCAAGAAAATCAAGAGATCCAAAATGGTTGACTGATGTCCCCAACCTCAACATCAGGTAGTTAGTTGTGATCATTAAAATAGAGATGGATTTCATTTATTGAAACTGTGGGATGAACAGGTACAAAGAAATGCAGAGAAGAAAGCCTGAAAAAAATTGGATTTCATATCCAGCTTCCCGTTAGCTTGCTACAGCAGCTCAATTGATTAGAGTGCTGCACTGGTATCACAGAGATCAGGGTTGGAATCCCAGCAAGCCCGAATTTTTTCCGGCTTTCTTTTCACAACTGCATAAGTTCTGTATTTGACTGTAGTGATCTTTTCTGTTTATAATATATTATGTAGATTATTTTCTACAAAAATTGGAGAAAGGGATAAATTTTGTGGGAAAAGGAGTAAGGATTTTTATCCTCACAAACTTTTCTATCAACTTTAGAGGAGCTTCTGAATTGTACTGTATTCAATTTACTTTTTCTCCTAGTTCCTGATGAACCAGTTGCAAGCACGAGTTCAAATACAAGAAAAAGGAAAAAACAGAAACAGAAAACTCCCAGAGATGGCCCCAAGAAAGCTCGCTATTGCTCTGCATGCAAAAATCCCATGAAAGGACACAAGAATATTAAAGACTGTCCAAAGAATAAGAAATAGGGCTAGAAGTTTAAAAGAAATAATGAATATTGTCTCTGTTGAGCTTCTGTTCGTCACTATTCTTTTGCAAGTTTTGAGTTATACTACGTATATACATGTGCATATTGTGATTGAATTGTGGTCTATGTATATACGGACAAAACTGTTCACCTATATCTAATAATAATAATAATAATAATAATAATAATAACAATAATAATAACTAATAACTTTATTTCTATAGCGCTCTTATCCTATGTTCAAGGCGCTTTACAGTCATGTAAACAACATTATTGATAAATATTTACAAATTTACAACCATATCCTATTATATTTACAATAATTAAAAAAGGAAAAAAAATAAAACTAAAGCAACTATTAAACTATTTTATTCATAATAATTAAAAAAAGGAAAAATTAAAACTAACGCAATATATACAAATCTATAGAAACAATGATCTGTTATTACTGAATAAAGAAAACAAGTACATCTTAAGTGATCTTTTAAAACTCGAGATGGTGTTGGACCTCCGAATTTCATAGGGTATTAAGTTCCATTCTCTTGGTGCATGAACAGCGAATGCTCTCCGTAGGTCTTGGTATACGATCTAGGTTGTATTAAAAGTTCATTACTAACAGACCTCAATGATCTGGTATGAGAACGATAATGTAGCTTCTGAGCTAAATAGCTAGGCGATGTCCCATTCAGTGATTTATACACGAGAAGCAGAATCTTGAAAATAATACGATATTGAATCGGTAGCCAGTGAAGCTCGCACAAAACAGGTGTGATATGCTGAAACTTACTCATTTGCAACACAACTCTAGCCGCCGTGTTTTGTACATACTGCAATCTTTATAACTGATACTTAGCTAGGCCAATAACTGATACTTAGGTAGGTCTATTCTTTTGCAATTGAAATCAGAATTCTGGAACAAATTAGGCATAGCCTTGAAGGTTGGTTAGCAATGATAACTCTTTAAGGAAGCTTACCAGCATTACTTAGCAATATTAAAGAAAAGTCAAAGGAATTTGGTGGGAAATAAATTGAAACCAACCAGTCAGCGGGCTGTGTGTATAGTTGTGTCTGAAACTAGGGGATTTGAGGACCTGACCTTCTCTTATCAGTGACAGATCTCCTGATCTCTCTTTCCCTCGTAACAAGGGGCTATAGGAGATTGCTTTTTGTCATAATGGAGAGCTAGGGAAAAAGTTTCCTGCTAGCAGAGGCCTCTTTTGGCAGGCAAAATAAATTTCATTGCACAATGACTTTTATATTATTGACAACGAACACCCCTGCGGGTGGTACTCAACAAATTTTTATGTGGGGAGGTTCCACCCCGAGGTCCAACCCCTTACCCTTTTATGTGCCATTTTTCACGAAAAAGGTACCCCTTTCGTATACCTTCAATTCTATTGACATTTGGTACCCCTTTCACATACCTTGTTGAGAACTTTGCATCCCTTTTAACCGCTGAAAATGAACTGTCTTTTAAATAGGAATCAATCACACAAATAGAACGTTTTCTAGACTTTATAAAGACATAAAATTCATCTGTTAGCCCTTTGGGCCCTTTGAGAGACCCAAATGACGGATTTCCCTACCCTTTCATATACTTCAACAAGTAAAATCCCTACCCTTTCATATACCTGAAGCCTGAAAAAGATACCCCTTTTGGGTGGAGCCTTCCTTTATAGGCCATTATGATGAGTACCCCCCGGGCGAACACCTCACCTGTTGATTTATAACTAGTTCTTTTCTATTACATGCTTATTGAGATTTATAAAATTGTATATCAAAAGAAAAAAAAAATAGTGGCAAAAGCTACTGTTCAAAATGAATCTACTGTTTACGTCAACAATGATGAAGTGAAACAGACAGTGAAACAGATGATCAACAGATTATTAACACAATAATTTACCAGGGAAAAAGCCTAAAAAGTTTACTTAATCATCTTCGTTGAGTTCGAATCCAGTGTAGGTTTCATCTGTGCCGACAGGAAATTGTTTTCTTATTACCGTGTAAGCACACGCAGGAAGAGGAATTCGCTTGTTTCCCAGAAAACCATAGACAAACCTGGTAAACTCCCTGTAGGCAATGCTACGCAAGTAACTGTAAAAAAAAAGACAATAAGAAAAGTATTTAATTTCGGCGAATGATGTATTAAAGAATTTTGTTTTCAAATCGAGTGTGTACCACATCGATCGTATTTGACCCCAATGCGGCACAAAAATAACAAAAACTCTCTCACCTTTCGTCGGATCCAGTTTGTCTATATCTCTGTTTGGCTTTGGTCTTGACACGTTCGCCAGCCATATGTAAGCTCCACTTTTGAAGGCAGACAGGACCAAAACCAGGATGTTGTGTGATACACCTTAAGGCCGTTTCGGGTTGAATATCTTCAAGAACACTTTCGCTACACATGGCTTCTTTGTAACCATCTAGCACCTGGCAGCAGTAGCACTCGCTCAAATTCTGAAGGACAACACGGCTGCAGTTTCCACAGGAACACCTATAACAATCAGGGTAGCTAGAATCATACAAAAATACCACTTTTTGTAGCGAAAGCTAACAAATCTCATCATACATTACAGCAATCACGCCGCCAAATAAGGAAGTACTCGAAGCTACTTGATTATTTACATAAGCTTTTACTTCGATCTTCACACAATCATACTACAAATTTGCCGACACTCACCAAGAATCCACTTGAACTGATCCTTCAAGTCTTTCCCGTAGTTCTTGTTCTATCTTATTTGTTTCATCAACTTCTTCTTCGTACTTTTTTAGCCATTCTTCATCAGCCAAGGGTTCATCGGCATATGCCATGTCATTTTCCAGGCTTTCACATTAAACTCTGTTCATCTTCCACTTCGGCCAAATTTGCCTCAGAATCTTCTGAATTAAACCTTCTCTCAGAACTTGAATCACTTAAAGACATATTCCGTTGAATTTTGGTCGTTTTAGAATCCCGCTCGCTTAAAATGATTGCCCCTTTCTCGCTTCTCGGTCATTTCCTCATGAGTTCGCGGCAGATGTCCTCCTTCGATGACGTCACAACAACATTCGTATCTAGCTCCCACGAAAACTCGGTAATGGAGCATAAGAGACCTAACTTTAAACAGCCACGGAAACACGAGGATTTTGTCAATCACGATAATTTTTTTCGCAAAAGTAATCAGAAAAATAAGGAGATTTTATTTAGGGAAAAACATTTCTGGGGGTTAGTTGCACTTTAATGACAACGATCCTCATACTACAGATTCACTTTTCTTTGACTTTCCTTGCAAAATAAACAAATTGTAAAAGTCCTATGAATGTCAACTCACCAAAGGTTGCTTAGAGGGAAGAGTCGAAGGTTTCAAGGTTCCTCCACGGTTTCTTAAGATAATGAAGCTTGTTGAATACCGAATAGCTAAGAAATACCACGATTTCATCATTGTTGTAGGTGGTTGCATCATCAATATTCACGAGGTTGTCACGTGCGATTTTACTTAATAAGACAGTCTTTAACTCTGACGACTTGATTCTAAAAGTGTTATAAGTTATTGATTCTTAAGAGAAAACCACCTTCACTTAAGGCACTAGTTATAGAACGAACTTCTTCATACCTTCAAGCTACTATTATTACTGTAAAAAGACAGTCTGTATGAGATATACAGTTAGACAGTTTGCACGTGAAAGTGTTGGACTTTGCCCCTTCGTGGTTCGTACGTGAGGGAATTCGAGTTATCACACAGTAATCCAGTAAACAGGATTATAAAAATAACTCATGCACACAATTTTATCACGATTTGTATAATCATGGCGGCAAAACGTTCAAAGACGTCTTCTGATTCAAAACGTGGAAATCTTGAGGAAGACGATATCCAAATGCCCCTTACACTAGTGAAAGAGTTGCTTAAGCAGCAAGAGTCAACTTTAAAAATGTTTCTGAGTGCCTACATGGATTCTGTCAACACTAGAATTGACAACTTGATGAAAGATGTGCAAAGTGTTAAATCGAGTTTAGAGTTCACACAAGCTCAAGTCGAGGAGCTAATAACCTCTGACCTCAGAGTAAAGGAAGTCAAAGTACAAACCGAGGACCTAGGAAACAAGTTAGATGACCTCGAAAATTGATCAAGGCGAAATAGTTTGTGCTTTGAAGGAATTCCTGAGTCACCAAACGAAACTTGGCGGGAATCGGAAAGCAAAATCAAACACCTAATCTCAAGTCACACGCCTGAAGTCGGTACTGACTTTGTCATAGAAAGGGCTCATCGTGTTGGTAGACCTCGCTCTGACTCCAAGCCTCGCAAAATTGTCGCCCCGTTTCTCAATTATAAGGATCGTGAGGCAGTTTTCAAAGCCAAAAAGAAGCTGCATGGAACAAATATGTTCGTAAACGAGGATTATTCCGATCGTG